CCATCCCTTTCAATACACAAAAGAGTGTTTTTCTTTGTTTCACATGCTTATACATTTCATACTTGCATATTTGAACAAAACTCACTCATATTTTACTCTTTGATGTAGATAAACACAAACCCATGAATCCAAGTTCATGGGGATTATTTGGGATAAACTATGGGAATAGTGGCTTGGTAGGCATAGATGGATGAACATTGCCTGCTTGGCAAAATAAAGCACTCGCCCTAGCCAAGCTTGGAGTTGGTGATGCTGCTCATATTCACCAAGAATAGCTAGGCAGCAAACACATGGAGGCAAAACTTGATTCCAAAACTGCATCATTTGATGCTAACTAAAAGGTTTCGAACCCCATTAAAAATCAACCAAAGATGCCATTTGAATCTCCATCACAATCTGTAGTTATGTTTAATGCATGGATGGTTGCACAAGTTTCATTGCATGGGAAACTAGTGAAAAAGATTACATTTTGCTTGGAAAAGTCATGAAAATCTTAGACAAAAGTAGTTTTGTTGGTAGTACTCAATTGCACACCAAATATGATAATTTGTATGGACAGAGGGTTACCAAGAATGGGAAGTTTGCAACGAACCAACGATCCTTTGCTGAAAACATTAAACAATCCATTATTGCACTTTGAAAGCTATCAACATTGCTCAAATCCACCTAAAACTTGACACATGTCCTCACCCAACCTGAATCTAACCATTGGATGGTTGGGCTACTCTGGTCCCACCAACTCAAAATTACCAAAATGCCACTGCACATATATATATATATATATATATGATTTTTGCTTCATTTTTGAGAGATCTAAACAGATTGTTCACGTAAAAAACACAATTCTCTAAAAATTTCTTTATCTTCAACTTTTAGATTCTCCTGCAAAAATTTCCCAAAAATCTCTATTTGTCTCATATTTTCCACACTTCTAGCCATACAAAATACACCCCAAACTTGTAGTGCGTCATGGCTAGGTGACTTCATGCTACAGTTTAAGATTCTAGGTTATCTTTCTTGAGCATCAAAGGATCAACTAGCAAAGTTGGCATCAAGACACAGGATCAAGTCCTCCATTCAAAAGCCCCCACAATGATCATATTTCCTTCTCTCATCATTGCTTTCAAGTTTATTCTTTTTGGTTTTGTGGAAGCTTGAAGAAGATTATTATGGATTTTTTTAATCATAATATGAGGGTTGCTCATTTTAGAGTGAAAGCATTTGTCAAGGATACTAGAGGACATATCTATTGTGTTTATTATTATTCTACTATGTACTTCATATAGTTATGTTTCTCAAGTTATTAAAGTCACTCTTTGTATTTTCTATCCATGCTACTCCTACCATACTGTACATCTTATTTTCATTATTTTTGGTAGTTGCGTAATCGTTCTTGGGCTCTTGAAACTCTATCATTGTTGCCTAGCTCTCCAAGCTTGGCTAGTGAAGTTATAGTTTTAGACTTTGCTAAAGAACTTGGAGTAGACTATCTTCGCTAAATAGAGGGAGACAACTCATGGAACACAGTCTGTCGCACATGAAATAGGTGCAAGGCAAAAGGACCTTTCTCATCTCTTGTAGGAGGCATCCTAGTTAGTTTTATGTCATTATCGTTGCTTACTCATCAACCCCCTACCCCAACACTTTTTTTTTTCCAAGTATTCTCATTAATTCCACACATTACATTAAAACTAAAAACATAATTTTTTTTTTCATTTTAAATTTGCAAAGTAGCGAGGAATTACTTTCTAAGGTAAAAATTAAGCATTTTGAAAATGTTTGAAATGGTGATAAAATGTTTAGGTTAAAATTTGAGTTATGATAATTAAAAATCGTTCAACTTTGAAGAAAGGCCTAGTATCGTCCCTTTGTTGACGGTAGTGTTATAACAATGTTAGGCCATCTGTTAAAATCCTTTAATACATGATTGTCAAAATTGTGATTTTACGAGTAAAATCACATGATTTTACGATTTTAAGTATTAAAATTGCATTAAATCTAAGTTAAAATCGAAATCTCATAGACTTAGGATTTAAAATCATAAAAGCATAAAATCATAGTAAACTCATAAAAGCAGACGAAATCAATTAAATCAAGATTTTACAAATTTAAAAAGTTTTATGGATTTTTGTGTCATAATGTGACTAATAATCACTAGTAACGCATTAGTGAAGTGGTGCTTATTGCTTATTTATGAGTTGTTTTGTAGTGGTTGGAATCTGAGCAATGTAATTTGGCTTTTCGGGGTTTTCATGCAAAAATTTTTAGGTTTTATTAATTTTTTATAAGTTAAACTAATAATATTTTTTTTTTGAGGTCAAACCCATTAAATTTTGAAACAATTTAATAACTATGAAATAGAAAAATACCCAATAAAGACTTGAAATAATTAATTAGTAATTAGACTTCTTAGATAAATTTTAAATTTGAACATTTTATGTTAAATTTTAGTAATATATAAAATTTAAATTAATTTAATAAACTTTCAATTTTACCAATTCAATTTTACAATTTTAGTTTTACCTAATCAAAATGATATTACCTAAACTCTCAATTTTTACAATCTTGGTAATATAACATTGTCGATCCTTCACCTTTTAGTTTCTATCCACTTTGATCCTTAAACTTCAAATTTATACAATAGTCCATGATTTTAACTTTTCTTATTTCAACTTAGTTCTAAACTTTTGAAAGGGTTTCACTTAAGTCTTAAAATTTCTAATTTCATGCATTATAGTTTGCACAAATAATAAAAACTATGTAAAATCTAATAAAATAAACTTTTAATTTATCTAAAATATTAATATATTTAAGGCTAAATAAGCAAACTAAAATGTATAAATTCATCTAATTAAAGTATAAAATCACATTTTTAGGATGTGCTTGGTTAAAGGCCAATATTCTCAAGAAAAATTTTCTTGAAAATGTGATTAATTAGAGTACTATATAGAAAGGTATAAGTGTTGTTAAAATTTAATTGAGTTATTAACTTTTTTGTGTTTACTAAGAAATAGATATATAAGAAAAATTAGTAGTGAAAATTGTTAAATGTATCCCATATAGAGAAGGGTTGTAGGAAACCTTTTTCCTTTAGAAAAAAGTAGGAAGAAAAGTTTAAAAGTTAAGAATTATGTTAGCCAAAAAATGTTACAATACCACTTTTGCCCTTTATTCATTATGGCTTTAAATTATGTAAGCATCAAAACACCCTTACAAAATTTTGGAGTTGAACATTTCCTAGGAAAGTAAATTGAACACCCCTTTAATACCCAACTTGAGATATCTAAAAAGGAAAAAAAAATGACATTTAGCTAACTACATATAAATAACTCACATAAAAGAAAAGAAAAGAAAAGAAAAAGAACAACATTATGATAAAAAAAAAAAAAGGGTAAATGAGAGATGCTTGCCACCCTCATAGTAATAGAAAAATCACCCAAAGTTATTATTAATCTATAATTTTTGTATGATCGCATTTAACTACACTCACAAGTCATATCCATGTTCTCTATAGGTTCACTGCTTCACTTCACTAAAATTTCAAATTAGTTATCAAAGATACCTTTCGTTGTACACTTTGGTAATATGGATTTTATATATTTTAGTTTAATAGTTTAAGCTTGATTTTTGATATTTGAACAAGTTGAATACTTGAATGTAATTTTATTGAAAGTCACATAACTTTTATATTTGGGAAAAAAAGGACCAAAATGAATAAAATTAGAAATTTTGAAATTTAAGTGTATCCTTTCAAAAGCTTAGGAACTATATACTATAATAAAATAGTTAAAATTAGAGGCTAAATTGAATAAATCTAAAGTTTGAGGATCAAAGTGTACAAGAATTGAAGTTAAGGGACAAGCTATATCATTTTACCATTAACATTTGAAGGATTTTAGTGGTGGATGTACGCAGTTATGCCGCACCTCAATGGAGAGACGATGTTTAGCCCGGATGCTTGGCACTTCCTCCAAAGTTTAGGATATATTTATAACTTCTTTTAAAGTAGAAAGATGAGAATAATTCTTTTTACAAAGTTAAGGGATTGTTAATGATATTAAGCCTTTATTTAAGACATTTACATAGTTTAATTTATATTAATTGAAAAATAAAAAAAAATAAACCGTTTAATAATATTCACATAATAAATTTAATAAAGTTAAATTTATTGGAAACCAAATTCAATAAATCTAAAGTTTGAGGATTAAAACGTACAAGAATTGAATGCTAAGGGACAAGCTAATATCACTTTACCATTAACAATGGGAGGATTTTAGTGGTGGATGTACGGAATTATGCCGTACCTCAATGGAGGGACGATGCTTGGCCCAGATGCTTGGTACTTCCTCCAAAGTTCAGAGATATTTATGACTTGTTTTAAAGTAGAAAGATGACAATAATTCATTTTACAAAGTTCAAATATTTTTAATGATATCAAACCTTCGTTTAAGACATTTACATAATTTAATTTATATTAATTATAGAAAAGAAAAAAAATCAAAACATCCAATAATTTTTATGTGATAAATTTAATAAGGTTAAGACCAATATTATACTCTAAATATTTAATAATTATAATTAGACATCTTAGAATTTTTAATATCAAAATATCCCAATTTCCATTTTTTCCTCTTATGAAAATATAAAAATTTAAGGCAAAAAACCCTTCTTAAACCCCCAAACTTACCTCAAAATAACATTTAAACTCCTAAACTAAAAATGATACAGATAAGCTCTCTAACTCTATTAACAATGCAAATAAATCCTTTTCATTCATGAGTGTCATGCTTTCAAGGTGATATTAAACATGAATACCATTTGACCCATTTGCGAGTAGCTTATTTGCGTTGTTAGTGGAATTGGAGGACTTATCTGCTTTGTTTTTAGTTTAAAGGCTTAAATACTATTTTGAAAAACGTTTGGGGGCTTAAAGAGGGTTTTTGCCAAAATTTAATTTGCTAGAATCTTGATCTTTCCCATCCCATCTGACGTTAAATCCCGATTTTGACACCCTTGCATATCATACACAGCATATATCATCAAAAACGTTTCCTTAAAAAGGGTCATATTGGAGAACAAACCATTTCACCATGGAAAGATTGACATAAATCTAGTAAAGCTAGTTAACTCATAAAACAGACAGTCTCGATTTTAACTTTCTAAAAAGGAACAAAAAAATCCATTTTATGTTCTTTCCTTAGGCCTAAACTCTTAACATATTCATTTTTTCCAAAAGGATCATAACTCGTCCTTACTTGCAGTATCTTCTACCATCAGTTCTTCAAGAGAGAATTCATCCTCCTCAATGATCTGTCCGTCTTTGCCATCCCATGGTTCTGTCCTCACAATAACAGGGTTGCCATCCAAAGGCAGGTTGCCCTTACCCCCCCGCCCTGCTTCTTTTACAAACTCTCTGAAAAATCGAATTGACCATTTAAAGATCGTCCTTCCAGAAAGTTTTCTGTACGGTGTAAAACAGAAAAAGGAACTATTCATTTTAATAAAGCATAAAATAAAAAGGAAACTTACACAAGATGTTCAAGCTCAAATGCACTCTTAAGTGTAGCATATGCTCCTTTCTTTACATTCAACGCCACCAAAGCTGGATAACCATATCCACCAACACCTACACGGTTCTCAAGATCTGGTTGTTTACCAGCAGCAGACCAAACATAGCTGAAGAAAATTGAAATAAATAGATCAAATAAGAAAATAGTCTTGAAGATGGACCAGTGGAGGGCAGTGGTGGAGCCAGGAAATACTTTTAGGGAGCCAAAATAAACATTGACTAGAAAAGATGACTGTGTGTCAATTCGAAAAATAAAAGGAAAATATTTTAAATAACATTTGTTCATCTTTAATGATAAATTAATAGTAGTTGATGATATAATATAAAAACCATTAGTTGAAAGATAGAACCAAACATATATTAAGTAGAATAATATATACCATGAACAAAGAAAATGAAGTAAAGATATTAATGAACAAACACTTAATAAAAAAATGATAATAAACAATTTTTATTCAATTAATTTTTACTTTTTCCCATATTTTATATTATCTTTATTTTCTCCATCTTTCTCTTTATCATTAAAAGTAATCAACAATATTTAAATACTAAAATATGATTAAAACGGAAAGAAATAAGAAAGGACAAAATCATAAAAATAAGGTGTAAGGGACCAAACTAAATTTTTTACAAAAGTTTAGGTAGGCCCCCCTGGCTCCACCAGTGGTGGAGGATAGCTTTAGAAACTAGCAGAAATAACACTGATGTGTGCCAAAAAAAAGAAAAAAAACTGAATGAATCCTAATGTACTTGCCTGTAAGGACTCCTTTTGAACTTCTCTGCAACTGCTAACAACATCTGAAGGTACTTGTTTCTTCCTTCTGCCTTGGAGTCCAAAATATCTGGTAAGAAAGCAACAAAGCAGATGGCAGCCAAACCACACTTCTCTTCCATGACATCCTACTTGCAAAAAAAAAGTACAAATATGGAATGGATTATTCTAAAGTTCCAAGCAGAATAACCTTTTTGTAAGAACATGATAGACTTACTGGGCCAGTCAGCTCTGTTACTTCAGCTGGTGCAACATTTGTTTCAAGCTGCTCCAGAGCAAAAGATTCAATTGCTGAAGCAGTTCTAGCTCCCTCATAAGGAATAGGGGTATCTTTGTCTGCTCCAAATACTAAGATGGTGGGGAATCCTTGCACGTTGAATCTGCTCATTAGAGACTGGTAAACACACCACACAAAGACATAAATCAGAAAAATATTTTCAAAGTGTAATAAAATAAATTATTAAATATTTTACTCTTAAAATATCAGAACAAGGATAAACAAAAAAATACAAATTATTCAATTTTAAACAGACATTAACTGCTCTCAGCAAACACAGAATAGGGTAACATAACATTTCATCTTTAGACTTCATATCATGAATCATGATCAATACAACAACACAGTATATACACAGGAGGGATGACAGTAAAAATATAAAGCTTCAAGTTATAGGATAAGTAAATCTGAACGAATAATAATAACCTGGAGTTTTAAACAAGTCAATTGTGAGGGCTCAAGTATCAGATAGATGGGTCCTATCCTGGTAAAATTAGTAAAAGTTTAACGTTACCTTCTCAGAGTCGCAATCAACATGACCAAGCTTCACCTTCCCCTTCAGGTTATTGGCAGCCTTCTTCCACTCAGGAGCCAGCCTTTTGCAGTGTCCACACCTTAAAAGGAAGAAATTTTCATTAATTAGTCATTGAACTAAAGAATTCAAGACTAAAAGCAAGTACCATTATAGAAATTATATGGTCTGTTACTCAAATAATGATCTTCCACACTGCCACATATAAAATTATGAAGATCAAATATATGGATTATTTATTTATACTTGAATTAACCTCTTTTACATCCATATAGTTCAAACTTCAAAATAATCAATGAATGAACAAGTTCAGATTCCTAAAGAATTCAATGACCATCAAAACAATTCTAAAAGTCAAGCTGCTCACTTTTATTATCTAGCTTTGAATGAAATATGCAAATACCAACATCAAGCTAAATTTATGAATATGCTAACTGTCAGTTAATAATAATTTTCTCCATTTTTTAATGGAAAAAACAAAGAATGAAAATACATCTGCTTTCACCTTAAAACAGAATTAAAATGTTATTTAACCCTGGCATTACATGAAAATATAGATTCATACACAATTTTGGGCTTATATGCAAGAACAAAAAATTTCTGTTCATTGATTAGTCTTGGATTGACCCAAGAAGAAAACTTACCAAGGTGCAAAGAACTCAACAATCCAAAGGTCTTTACTTTTTATCACCAATTGATCAAAATTTTGGGAATTCAATTCTACTGATGCACTAGATTCAGATTTTTCACTGGATGCTCCAGATGCTTTTCCATTTAAGCGATCCTTCAAAAGTGCCTTCACCTGGGGGAAAAAGTAACTATTTACTCAACTCAAGTAGTCAAGTTCATGCTGATCAAAAAAAAAGTAGTCAAGTTCATAGCTTTAATTTGATACAGAAAAGAGATACAGTTTATAAGTTCATTTCATTCATTATTCAGCCAAAAAAATGGAGGCATTTAGCCAACAACAATTATAATGTTCAGGGACTATTCTGAGACACGCAGATCATTCATCTGACCTAAGCAAACAAATGCAACGAGCCTATGTGCTATGATAGAAAAAATTTCATGAACTGTCTCTGAAACTTGATCATGCATGGACAATGCACATTAACTGTCAAACTGTGTCATGATGCACAACTCAAGTAAAACATTTAAAAGATATATCACTGAGAAAGATACTAGTTCCATGCAAGAACTTTTGGAAGATTGCCAACGCCCAATCCAACAACATTCATGTCCACATTAGGTGCCTACTTTAGAGAAATAATGAATATAATTTTGGGCAATTTATATAATCTCCTGAAGGCCACAATGATTAGAATTTAGAAAATGAACAATTATCCAGGGCCTGCCCATGGAGCCTTTCTTATGTAAATAACCTAGCATTTGCATTCACAGCCAAATAAATGAAAGTATGCATAGCCACATAATTCCTTTCATTTAGTGGACATACATAGCAATGTACAGAAAATTGCCAAACATTTCATTCCAATTTTTTTCCATTAGTGGTATAAAACAAGCCAATAATGTGTGGAACAATCTTCCTAAAACACAAACTTATCAATAAAATCAGAACGTGATTGTGATCTAATGAAAATGAAATTCTAAAATTTCAAATAACATATCAAGATAAACCTGCTGGAGAGCGAATTCTGCAATAGGCTTCACATCCCTAGCTCCCTGGTAATCAACTGGGGGCTTTCCAGGGGCAAACACCTTTATTGTAGGGAATCCTCTAATTCCATATTCCTACATAGCAATCAGAACAGAGTTTTGTTAGCAAGTCACACTCATAGCAACAGAAAGCATTTCTAATAAGCTTCATAGCACTGACTTTGCCCCCATTCAAATGTTCCCATTTGTAATTTGCAGCTATAAAGCAGTGTGTAATGCACAGATGTATTCTGCTGTAGTTTCGTAAGTGTTGATAGTCACTTGAAGAAGAAAATTTAAAATTCCGAGATCATATTGTATCTTAACAAATAAAACTCCAAATTAAACATTGGAAAGGAGATACTAACCCTATGGTGACTTGTAAAGGACATGAGATTGTCAAATCGAACAGAAAGATAAATGAAAAAGACACCTCACTGCAACTTATGTGATAAGATTAGGTCTAGCAAACAAGAAATATTTATGATAAAGCAAGATGATAAGCAGTTCTCTATGTCTTAAATCATGATGCAAAACCACAGCTGGAGTCAGCCAGAAAGATATATATATATATAAATGAAATGACATCTATCAGGGGCAGAGGAAGGGGGCGGGGGGCCACCCCCTTCAACTTTTGAAAATTTTAAATTGGTACATACATTTTTTTAGCCCCCCCTTAAAATTTTTAAATATTATATTTGTCATGTGAAACTTTTAAGTTATTCTCATTTTACTCTTTACAATCATTTTTTAAACTCAATAACTTAGGCTAATACAATTTATAATATTTTTATTATAAGCACCATTTCAAATACAAAGAATATTAGGATTTAACTAAATGTTTTGCGAAAGATGAGTCTTACAATCTAAACAAATGACTTTCTTGCACATTGAATAACTTAGGAATTGATGCTCTTCATAAAACCCAAACTTAAAGATCTTTACTCTTTAAATTTTTGAATAGTTTTAGGATTTTATTGTTGAATTTTTGTCATTTAAAGCAATTTGATTAACAAAAACTTTAGTTGATACATATTTTCTCATTCATATTTTTTAGTTCTTTGGGAAAAGATAACTTTTAAGAGACAAATCAGTAAAGAAAACAAAAAAGGAAAAAGATCAACATTTTGGGACGGAAAGAGTAAAAATTTGAAATTGTTTGAATTAGTTGAACCAATGTTTAAGTATTATGACTTCGTTATAGCTATAGGTTTTTTGGTCTTTTATTATCCCAAAAATATATTAAATATTAATTAAAATTAATAAAAGTATACAAAAATTATTTGGAAATTATAAATTTACATTTTTAGATAAGGTGCTATGTGAAAAAGCTCTGTGCAAATTAAGCAATAGTGAGGCTTTTTCTCTTATCTTAATAAAATAACTCAATAAAAAAATTAACAAAGATATAGGAAGAAGAAAATATATTCATTTGTTAATTTTGTTAAGATTCTAAGAAGACATCAATAAAAAAGACAATCAAAATTAAAATTTATTATTTGATTTATCAAAAAATAAAATAAAATAAAATTTTTAAGAAAAATTAGCTAATGTCATACTCCCTCTAGTCTTGTTTAGTTGCCCTAATCCCTCAATTTTATATAAATTTACTTGATGATGTTATATAGTAAATGAATAACAATTGAATTTTTTTTTTCATTTTTGATCTAAGTGAAAATACACAACAAGAACTATGTATAGAAACAAAAAATTTTCAATTGTCATCTATTTACCATATAAAATCATCTAGTCAAACTTTATGCAAAAGTCAAACTCAAACAACTAAATGACGCAGTAGCATAAAGTGTTTTTTTAATTATTTGTTTTAGTTTGAGTTTTATTTGAAGTCTAAGTTTTAATTTTAGGAAAGCCATGTGAATGTCATGTGACTTTTTAATTAGGATTAGAATAGTAGCTTATTAGGAGTTCATAGTTTATTAGAAGTTCAAATTAGAATTGAATTAGGATTCTTGGCTGTTGTTAGTATTTATAGTTATTCTTCTTAGATTTCAAGAGCAGTTTTTTGTTATGAAATTTTAGTTTGAGAATAAACTTTGAAAACCTAAGTTTTCTTGGTTTCATCTTTTATTTTACTAAGTTCTTAGTTTCTGTTCATTCTACCCCTACCTTCCCTGCATCAAATTGGTATCAGAGCTATGGCTGGTCATGGCAGAGGAAATAAAGGCCAACAAGCAGAATTAACTGAGATGCGACGTATGATTGAGGACTTGTTGTGAGCTGTGCAAGCTTTACAGGGATGGGAACCCATGGTAGCCCATATGGAGATGCTGGAGGGTGACCATAAACCAGTAGACACACCAGAAGGTAGTCTGGAGGATGAGACTGTGGATGGAAGGAATGATAACCCTTTTCATGAAGCTGGAACCGCAAATCAAGCACTAAGAGGTGGATTGGAAGAGTGGTTGATACATGCACTTGATTTGAATAGTGGAGGAATTAAAATAGAAGTTGCTGAATTCCATGGAAAAATGCATGCAGAAGATTATTTAGATTGGGAAGCTAGTTTGGACAATTATTTTGACTGGAAGCACATGGCAGAAAATAGGAAAGTGATTTTTGTGAAACTGAAGTTGAAAGGAGCTGCACTTTGATGGTGGAAGAGAGTTGAAGAACAGCGTTCTCGAGAAGGCAAACCAAAAATCAGCACCTGGGAACACATGAAAACAAAGATGCGCAAACAATTTTTGCCAGCAGATTATGCAATGGAGTTGTATGAAAAATTCCATATGTTGAAACAGAACAGAATGTCAGTAGAGGAGTATACTTCAGAATTCAACAACTTATCTTATAGGGTTGGTTTGAATGAAACTGGTGAACAATCAACTTCACGTTATCTAGCTGGTGTAAATCAAAGTATTAAAGATGAAATAGGAATTGTCCATTTGTACAATCTTGAGGATGCTCGGCAATATGCTCTAATGGCAGAAAAGTGAGTAATGCGATATGGAGCTAGGAAACCGTTATATGATCAGATTTATGACAACTCCCAAGAAAACAATAGTGCTGGAGGGGCTGGCATAACCAACAAAACCAGCAGGAATATAGACAAGGGAAAGAATGTGGTTTCTAGTTGCGATATTCAAGGAAATTCAAAGGTTCAGTGTTTTAGTTGTGGGGGTCGGGAACATTTCCCCTATTCTCGTCCACAACAACACCAGGTGAATCTAGCCAAGTTTGAGGAAAAAACAGGTGACATGTCAGAACCCATTTATGATGATTATTGTGATGAATTGGAAGAGGTGGACGTTCTGCCAGTTAAAGGTGAGTCCTTGATGATTCAACCAGTGATGACCACAACTAAGGAAGAACGTGAAGAAGATTGGCAAAGGCAAGTATTTTTTGAAAAAGCGTTCTCTATGGTGACAAGGTATGTAATCTAATTATTTACAGTGGTAGCGTGGAGAATATTATTTCAAAGGAGGCAGTAAAAAACTACAATTACCTATTGAGAAGCATCCCCATCCCTACAAAATTAGGTGGCTTAAGAAGGGTGGTGACATACCAATTACATTGCGTTGTTTGGTAAGTTTTACAATGGGGTGTGATCTAGAAGACAAAGCTTTGTTCCGATGGATGCTGCACATATTCTTTTGGGCAGACCATGGTTATATGATCATGACATGATACATCACACAAAGCCTAATACCTATTCCTTTCACAAGCGCAACAAGAAATATACACTGCATCCTTTAAAGGAGGGTAAGCAAACAAAGAATTCACTAGCCGGGAGGAAGTTTGTTGGCTATTCAACTACTGAAAAAATTGAAGTTGAAACTAAAGAAAACATGCAGGAAGATGTTCTTGAAGATGCATTTGGTGTTAAGGTAGTGAAACCAAAGAAAGGCCAACTCAACCAAGCAATTTCTGGTAAAATGGTTAGACATATGTACATGTGACAGCACCTGAATTGCAGAGGAAAAATTCAGAAAAATTGGTCCAGATAAACATGTTGAAGCTGATCTTTCAATTTGAACCAAGCTAAATTTCCAACCCAGGGAGAATGATGCAGGAGCATAGAGTGTTTATTTAATTATTCATTTATTTGTTTTAGTTTGAATTTTATTTGAAGTCTAAGTTTTAATTTTAGAAAAGTCACGTGAATGTCATGTGACTTTTTAATTAGGATTAGAATTAGTAGCTTATTAAGAGTTCATAGTTTATTAGAAGTTCAAATTAGATCTGAATTAGAATTCTTGGCTGTTGTTAGTATATATAGTTATTCTTCTTAGATTTCAAGAGCAGTTTTTTGTTATGAAATTTTAGTTTGAGAATAAACTTGAGGTTGAAAACCTAAGTTTTCTTGGTTCCATCTTTAATTTTACAGAGTTCTTAGTTCCTGTTTGTTCTACCCCTACCTTCCCTGCATCACTAAATCAGACTGGAGGGAACAGATATTAAGACTCAAGTCATTGACAAAGAATTTTGCCACACTCAATTTTTTTGGGGTCCGCCCTTGTCTATCACTACCATTAACTAAACACTATAGTTGGCCTAAGATCGCAAGCATCTACTAAAAGAGTTTATTTGTTTAATAAAAAAAATTCAGTGTTTTCTAAAATTTGATGAAAATGCCCCACTCACTTAATTGTTTTGGCTCTGCCCTTGTCTATCACTACCATTAACTAAATCCTACCGTTGGCCTAAGATTGCAAGCATCTACTAAAAGAGTTTACTTGTGCGTAAAATATATATATATATATATATAGTGCTCTCTAAAATTTGATGGAAATGTATATATTTACCTAATAACAACCACTAACAAGGTGTATCAGTTAAATTTCTAATGGCTATCTACCATCAAATTTTCAAGATTCAGGAGAAAAAAGTTGGTAAAAGATTTCAACTCACCTGAGCAAGGGACTGGTGTGCGTCAGCATCAAGTGCAGCCACAGTAGCAACACCGTTCAAGACATTAGCTGCCTTCTCCCATGTAGGTGTCAAAGCTTGACAATGACCGCACCAAGGTGCAAAGAACTCAACCAGTACAATTCCATTGGAATTTAGAACCTGAAATCATGGAAAAACATTGATTAATAGGCATGATTACAAATTACTCCTTTGTATCTAGAACTTCTGTAGCAAGCAAAATCTAGTTCAGTAAAATGAAGCACAATGCCAATATCATTCAAATCAAATAGAGTCCCCCACTAGATGTCACTTAAAAACAGCACAAGAACACGGGGATTTAACTTATAATTGGAAACCATTGAAAAGATGACAAACATCAAAAAGTTATACTACCATATTGGTTAAATATGAATAAAATATTAACTCCATTTTTACTTTTTATTCTCCTTTTGAGTAAAAATGACCAGCCATCCAAATCCAAATGTAAAAGTATTTTCTTCCATGCAGCAAGTCAATAAAAGGTTGCATTAACAGTAATCAGTCTCGTTCTATTGAAACAATTGAAAAGTTTTAGTTTTGGTATTTTTTGTCCCAGGCAAGCTTTCACACATCTAGAAAAGGCAATCTAGAGAGGGTCCACCCTGACATCTGCTGCCACAAGACTTAAACCCTGCACCTAGTCTACAATTTGCCTGCTTGTGGATCCATCCCTTGGGATTGAAAAAATTGAAGAGTTGCACAAACCAACATGCTACTAAGGCAGTAAAGAAATTTCAAATCAATCATGTAGAAAAGATAAAATTATTATTCCCTTCATAGAAGAAGGGTATTTATATGGCCAAACTCATCCATATCTGATGCAGTAATCTAACAAAATAAAAACATCCTACAAATTAGATGCAAAGAATCCAAAGAAAGCGAGTTACAAACAACCAAATTAGAAAGAAATAACATTCAGATCCAAAAAAGAATAATATATAAAATATTGGGCTAATAAAATGATGCAGGGGAGGTAGGGGTAGAACAAAACAGAAACTAAGAACTCCGTAGATTTAAAGATGGAACCAAGAAAACTTAGGTTTTCAAACTCAAGTTTATTCTCAAACTAAAATCTCATAACAAAAACTACTCTTGAAATCTAAAAAGAATAACTATATATACTAACAAGAGCCAAGAATCCTAATTCAATTCTAATTTGAACTTCTAATAAACTATGAACTCCTAATAAGCTACTAAATCTAATGCTAATTAAAAAGTCACATGATATCCACATGACTTTCCTAAAATTAAAACTTATACTTCAAATAAAACTCAAACTAAAACAAATAAAAAAGCATTTTATGCTTCCGCATCATAAAAAATTTTCGTTTTCTTGATCCTTCACCCCAACTGATTATGCGAAGACATTTACAATTTCCGTGACACAGTGATGGCAAATAACCAAAATTCAGTTCATTATTTTCGCTTTCCAGTCTACTGACTTCCGTACTTCCTTAAAACGAAACAAGTGAAAATTCAAGCGATCGGGTATTACCTTGGATTTGAAGTTGGAGGGAGTAAGCTGATGGACTGGCGATGAAGGTCCGTAAAGTGCATCGGAAGAATTGAAGAAGATGCAGAAAAGTGATAGAAGAATGAGCAAAGTGGCCTGTGATCTGAGCATTTTTCTGTAGCTCTTTCAAAATCTGTCTTTGCCGTGATGTAATTTGTTGGCGCAGAGCACTCAAGGGAGACCGCAGGGAAGGGGAAGTAAAACCCTTCGCTCGAGCGGCACTACGTGTGCTATCCAATAACAACTCTACACGTCAGCTGTTGTGACGTGGCCATCACCAACCATAGGGAGCTGCTAAGGCATGAAGTTTCTAAATCAGGCAGTACTGAGATCCTATTCGGTGAGACTAGGTGGTTCGGTGTGGTTTGGTTTGGTTTTATTATTTTTTAAATTAATTTAATTTAACTAATTAATAAAATTTTTAAATCAATTCAATCTATTATTATGTAATAATTAAATCAATTCAATTTAATTCGAATCGGTGTAGTTTGATTGAATTGATTGATTTTTAACATTATTAAATATATAAAATAATGTAATAATATTTTTAATATTAAATAAAAAGTATAACTATAAAATGCATTAATATCCAAATCAATAAAAACATAATAAAAAATAAAAATTATAAACGAATTCTTATATTTCTTTACATTTGTAAAAATTAAAAAACTCTAAAAATTCTTCTTAGTTACATCACTAAAGGCACCAAAAACAATAAAAAATAACTTTAAATTTCTAGCACAGCATAAATAATTCTTGAAAGTTAAAATTAATTTTTTTCTTAATACACTAATAATTTAATTCCATTTTCTAAATTTTGTTAAAAGTGAATAATATTTAACATGAATATTACTAAAATTGATTAGAAGCATTCAAAATCAAAATTTAAAACTTCTAAACCAAATATTTAAGAATAGTTAAATATTAAAACTAATTTTATTATATAGTTTTAAGGTTTTCAAAATAATACTTATTTAAAATTTAGGAAAATCATAAAATTATTTTAAGAATAAATTAAAAATTCAGAGTTTTAAGAGTAAAGGTACAAACCAATTCTAAGAGGATAGAGTTGTAGGTGAATTAAAAATTTAGATTTAAAGTTAAAGTATATGATTAAAATGAAGAAATAACTTAGGGAATATAGAGATGTTCTAATTTTATTTTTTTAATTAAGTTAATGGAGTTATAATCTTGTAAAATAAGAAAAGAAATTTAAAATACTATAAAAAATATGTTATATTATTTAATTAAATTATATTCTAATCGAATTTTATTTTGCAATCGGATAGTTCAAGCGGTTTGAAGATAAAATCACGAACAAAATCAATTATACCGGTTTTAAAATTTTAAAATTCAAACCAACCCAATTTTATATTGGGTTGGATCGATTTTTTATTGGATTGAATCAGTTTAAGTCAGATCAATCAGATTGAATCGGATATGAACATCCCTAGGTGAGATTAGAATTTTTAATACAAAAAATGCTATTTGAAAGAATATATTGTAAAAGTTTTATTTTTGAGAAATTTAAATTATTTAATAAAATTTTTATAGAAATATTTTCAAAGTAAAAAGTTATTTAGTAAATATTATGTTTGGGAACTTGAATTTGAATTTGATGAGTGTAATTTAAATACATATATTTTAAAATACATTGTTTGGATTGAATAAAAAAATAAATTTCAAATACATGTATTTTTAAATACATTGTTTGGATATATTAAAAAATTATGTATTTAAAAATTAAAATTTTCTTATTAAATTAAATCTTCTTCTAATCATTATTTAAATTTAATAAGATCAAAGTTAATAATTTTAATCTTTCAAAGCATTTTTTAAATTATATCAAGACAAACAAATTGAATAAAAAAAAAGAAGAAAAGAACGATGACTTTCACTAATTAATTTGTCTTCATGCTCCTCATTTTCTTTTCATTTTCTTAATTGTCATATAATATTCAATTTCTACAATGATGAATTTATTATGAAAGAATTTCACTTTAAAAAACACCTTCTCCTTGACTTTTTTTTATTTTCTTTTTGCTCCTAAAATTAACAAGAGAATATAAGAAAAATATCACATGCAAAGAACACAACTAAAAGTCCAATACAAAAATCATGGCATTAACAGACATATTCGAAAAAGGAATGCTAGGAACACTCGCTCCTGCACTCCCCAACGGACACTTGCTCCAATATTTTCCCACGTCACACTATTTTTGAATGAGGTTATGGGCAACCGGTTTTCCCTTTTTAATTTCTTTTCGGCTTTTCGCCACCTCAACCATTCTCGATGTTGTCAACCAGTCACCACCAATTATTTCCATCGCTGATTAACGTTATCTTGCTTTCAAAGGAGATGTATTCATAGTAATCTTTATTTTATAATTTGATATATATTAATAATATATTAATTATATTTTTTATTAATTATTTTAAA